AAATGTATATATATATATATATTTGGATAAATGTGTATATATATATATGTATATACATACATACATACATATATGCATGTATACAGGTTGTTCCAAAAGTCTTAGTGCAATTTTACGCTGTAATAGCTTAAAACTGCACTAAGACTTTTGGGACATTCTATATACATCTGTGTCTTGGCTCTGCTTTTTTTTCACTCTGCATCACTTCAGGGTCCCTTGACTGCCACATAGTAGGTACCTAATAAATGCTTTTTGATTAACTGGATTCATACAATTCTTCCCATGTTTCTCTAAATTCTTATATCAACAAAATAGAAAAAGAACAGATCAATTCATTAGACATACAACTAAAACAAAAACTAGAAAAAAATTAAAATCCCCAATTGAGCACCAAATTGGAAATCCTGAAAATCAAAGGTGAGATTAATAAGATTGAAAGTAAAAAAAAAACAAACAATTGAGCTAATAAAGAAACCTAGGGGCTGGTTTTATGAAAAAAAAACAATAAGATGGATAAGCCTTTGGTTAATTTGATTAAAAAAAGAAAGAAAAGGGGCAGCTAGGTGGTGCAGTGGATAGAGCACTGGCCCTGGGTTCAGGAGCACCTGAGTTCAAATCCAGCCTCAGACACATAACACTTACTAGCTGTGTGACCCTGGGCAAGTCACCTAACCCCATTGCCTAGCCCTTCCCTCCCCAAAAAAAAAAGAAAAAGAAAGAAGAAACCAAGTATCTAGTATCAAAAATGAAAAGGGTGAATTCACCACCAATGAAGAAGAAATTAAAGCAATCATTAGAAAATATTTTGCCCAATTATATGTCAATAAATCTGACAATCTGAGTGAAATTGATGAACATTTATGAAAATATAAACTACCCAGATTAATAGATCAGGAAATAGAATGTCTAAATAACCTCATCTTAGAAAAAGAAATTAAACAGGCCATTAATGAATTCCCTAGGAAAATATCCCCGGGGCCAGATGGTCTCACAAATGAATTCTACCAAACATTTAAAGAACAAGTAATTCCAATGCTATATAAATTATTCGGAAAAATAGGTGAAAAAAGAGTCCTACCAAACTCCTTTTATGGCACAAACCAGGAAGAGCTAAGACCGAGAAAGAAAATTATAGACTAATTTCCCTAATGAATATAGATGCAAAAACTTGGAACAAAATACTAAGCAAGGTGATTACAGCATTATATCACATGGATTATACACTGTGATCTGGTAGCATTTATACCAGGAATGCAGGTTGGTTCAATATTAGTAAAACTGTCAACATAATTGACCACATCAATAACAAAACCAACAGAAGTCATATAGTTATCTCAATAGATGCTGAAAAAACTTTTGACAAAACACAGCACCCATTCCTATTAAAAACAGGAGAGAGCACAGGAATAAAGGGAGCATTCCCTAAAAGGATAAGTAGTATCTATCTAAAACCATCAGCAAGCAATAAGATCAGGGGTGAAGCAAGGATGCCCACTATCACCACTATTATTCAATATAGTACTAGAAATGTTAGCTATAGGAATAAGAGAAGAAAAAGAAATCAAAGATATTAGAATAGGCAATGAGGAAACAAAACTATCACTCTTAGCAGATGATACAATGGTATACTTAAGAACCCTAGAGAGTCAAGTTAAAAAACTATTTGAAACAATGAACAACTCTAGCGAAGTTGCAGGATACAAGATAAACCCACATAAATCATCAACATTTCTTTATGTGACCAACAAAGCCCAGCAACAAGAGAGAAATTCCATTTAAAATAACTATAAACAATATAAAATACTTTGGAGTCTACCTGCCAAGACAATTCCAGGAACTACATGAACACAATTATAAGACACTTTTCACACAAATAAAATCAGATTTAAACAACTGGAAAAATATCAGCTGCTCATGGGTAGACAAAGCATAATATACATATATATATATATATATACACACACATACATATATATACACACATATATACTATATATATATATATATGCTTATATGATAACAACGATGATTCTGCCTAAAGTAATTTACTTATTCAGTGCCATACCAATTAAATTACCAAAAATTATTTGAAAGAGTTAGAAGAAATAACAACAAAATTCATCTGGAAGAACAAAAGGTCAAGAATATAATGGGGATTAATGAAAAAAAAATACAAAGGAAGGTGGCCTAGCAATACCATATCTCAAACTATATTATAAAGCAGTAATCATCAAAACTATCTGTACTGGCTGAAAAATAAGAGTGGTAGATCAGTGGAATAGATTAGGTACACAAGACACAGAAGTCAATGACCACAGTAACTTAGTGTTTGATGAGCCCAAAGACCACAGTTTTTGGGATAAGAATTCACTATTTGACAAAAACTGCTGGGAAAATTGGAAAATAGTATGGCAGAAACTAGGCATAGACTAACATCTCATACACTATATTAAGATAAGGTCAAAATGAGTACATAACTTAGACATAAAGGATGAAACTATAAGTAATTTAGGAGAGAAAGGAATAGTTTACCTGTCAGATCTATGGGGAAGGGATTATTTCATGACCAAACAACAGATAGAGAGCATTACAAAATGTTAGATAATTCTGATTATATTAAATTAAAAAGCTTTTGTACAAACAAAACCAATGCAACCAGGATTAGAAGGAAAACAGAAAGCTAGGAAACAATCTTTACAGCAAGTATTTCTGATAAAGGCCTCATCTTTCAAATATATAGAAAACTGAGTCAAATTTATAAGTATACAAGCCATTCCCCAATTGCTAAATAGTCAAAGGATATGAACAGGCAATTTTCTGATGAAGAAATCAAAGCTATCTGGAGGCATATGAAGAAGTGCTGTAAATAATTTTTGATTAGAGAAGTGAAAATTAAAACATCTCTGAGGTATCACCTTATACCTATGAAATTGGCTTATACAACAAAACAGAAAAATGATAAATGTTGGAGAGGATGTGGGAAAATTGGGACACTACGCACTGTTGGTGGAGTTGGGAACTGATACAACGATTCTGGAAAGCACTCTGGAACCAAACTCTGCATACCCTTTGATCCTATTACTGGGTCTGATTCTCAAACAGATCTTACAACACAATTATTTCTTGATATTGCTCCCTTCCTCTTCTCCCTCTTCCCCAACACTAAATTCTCTATTGAAACAGAAAAATTAAGTCTTAAGTCAACTTAATCTGATAGTATGTGCAACCTTCTACTCTTGTAGACTTTCGTCTCTTTATCGAAAGGAGGGAAATAGAGCCGTGATTGGTTGTTGCAATGAATCTGAGTTTAGTTACTTTTAACATTGTTTTTGTTTACATTATTACAGTAGTTCTAAACTGTCTAGAAAGGTTTTCCATAAAGAAAAAGCTGAAATAAATATACTTTCCTGGAAAAACTTCAATTGTATAAAACATGACACCCCTGGAATATTCTGATTAATCAAACACTGCATTTAGAATCATCTACACCCAGAGGAATCAGTTTTTCTGAAGACAAAGTATTACTGATATAGTCCAGAACACAGGGACAGCAACACAAATCAATCCCACAAAACAATAATTCCCAAACCATTTATATTTGCTTCTGAAATGCTCTAATGAAGCCTGCTTCACCCTGCCCCAACTCAACTCACTCTATGCAACCAGGACTTTAGTTGAGTGGTGGTGGGGAGGGTCACTACAAATAATCCACAAAATAGATAATTCACCCATTAGAAAACTGAGAATTGAGGGTAGTTCCCTTCTGGAATACAACTACAGTACAGATAAAAATGTTGATCTTCATTCAGTAATCCTATATTAAAGTTAGCGTAAATAAAGATCAATTTATATGCTACCAAAAATTGTCCTATTAAAACCTGTCAGTGACTGTAATACAATGTATTTTTATGGTTTTTCCTAAGTTGACTTACACGAGCAAAGCAATTAAGTAGACGTTTATCAAAATCATCTGTGACTCTGCCTCCATATTGTACTTCTCCAATCATGTAGCGTACTGTAGTCCATGATACTCCCTGTTTAAACAAAATCTAGTTATAACTAATATAAATAATATGAAAAATGATAAACATCTTGGGATTTTGATTTCAGGGAGAGAGTTGAGGAAGTTGGGGCCAGTAATAGGAGTCTTATACTTCTTGAAAATGCTAAATATAGTTACATGAAAAAATTTATTATGGATGAATCAGAGCTCACTTATTTACATTGTTAAACAGTTTACAATTTGTTTATGAAATAAAATCTATAACAGGAAGCACTACTGTATGTGTGCTCTATAGGTTATCTCAAGTAGGACATTTGGTCAGATGAAGAATGATGCCGCATAGACCAACATCTCACACCCTATACCAAGATAAGGTTTCTTTACTCCCTTTCTTTACTTCCTTTTCCTGATTCATGACCTGAGGTAGTAAAGCTTATAACCTTGGAAGAGAGAAGAGGGAGTGTGTGTGTGTCTTTTCATTGGGAGTGGGTTAGAAAGGGCCGAACGAGAAAATTGTTGAAGGACAATCCATCCCCCAACATGGCGAGAACTAGCAAGATCAAAGGTGTCTCATAAACTAAAAAGAGTCGGCAAATGCTGATTTGGGGATTATTAAGAACAAAAGGGATAAGTACGGAAAAAATGCTACTCACTTTCTTGATATCACATTCATCAAGGTGGTTCTGTATAAACTGAACACTTGCAGTAAAGTCAGCTGAATTAAACTCATAAGGAATATTCCACCCTAAGGGACCAAACTTGCGTCGTTCCTTGAAAAATAACCACAGAAAAACAAATGTTCAGTAGAACTTCCTTTTTTCAATCTGATGTTTGCTTCTTCTTAATGGAGTGAAATTTAATAAACAAGAACAATACGAGCTACCAGAGATGCCTAAATAAGCTGACACAGCCTTAATAAATCACAGTGCATACATCAGCCAACAGAAACGTTTTTTGGTCATTCTATACACAAACAGTACTGAAGAACAGACATCAAAACTATTTACCATGATTCAGAGCAAAACCAGTATCTCTGAATTTAAAAGAATTCAACTCCATTGTTGATTCCTAAGACTACAGTTTATTATTAATGCATTGGGTTTCTATATTTTTCACTTTTAAGAACACTGCTTCTGTGATTGAAAGGCATTTGAAACTCTGTCCTAGTTCCACTGGGTAATTTTGTAATTGGACAGAGAGAGAGAGAGAGAGAGAGAGAGAAAGAGAGAGAGAGAGAGAGAGAGAGAGAGAGAGGGAGAGAGAGAGAGAATGACTGTTGATACAAACATATGTCTGCCAAAACTTTTATATTACCACATAGCCACCACTATAATATCTCCCTTGGTGCCTGTCTTTTCTGTTTACTAAATAAGGTTGAAATGTTGCCATAAAAGGATAACTTAACAGGCAGGGCAGACAAAATCCACAGAAAGCTGAACTGTCGTCAAAGGACAAGGGTCCTTCAGGTCTTCTGATTCCCTGGTATCTATCTGAATGGTGTGTAAGCGTTGGTATTGGTATTTCTGGGTCTCAGACATATATGACAGTCATACAGATGAGCCCTAATGATACCACTTATCATTTTCTCTGTGCTAGTGCATATCTGGGCCTATAACTGGTCCCCAAGTAATTATTTCTATCAATAAAAATTGATATTTTTATTTATTAACAGGCTTATTAGCAGAAGCCACTCATTAACATGTAGCCCCAGTGCTTGAGGTAGGGGCTGGATAGTGCTTTCTCCATGTACCAAACACGTAGACTCAGACTTCTCCTGAATGCCCTTCTGGCCTTTCCCTTCCTGACTCTTCTTTTCATTCCTTTGACCATATTCCCCTTTTCTCCCCCACCTCCTACCTCCAAGCACAAAGTAGACTGGGGAAAGTATGGTGTATGGTGAAGGCCAGTTGTAGAAGGACCATTCTAGTCTTTCTCCCCACCTTGTTTTAGGTAGCATATAAACTACTTTGGATATCTGAATTTAGCATTTCATCTCCCAACTCTGTCCCCTATGCCTGAAATACACCAATTCTCCAAATCCACTTCTTATGGTCCCTAGGTTTTTCCAAGGCACAGCTCCTCCCGCGTGCCAGGCATTGCATTAGCAGCTAGGCATATAAAGATGCAAAATGAAAATAATCCCCAACCTCCAGCAGCCTACATTTTATTGCCCATTGACTTTTTGACCCTATCTGAAGGGCTCTACCAAACTATGCCTTTTCATAGCCACTGTAAGCAGTTGTGCGACATTTAAAAAAAACATTTTATGAGTTTGACTTGTTTGCTTATTAAATAAATGCACCTAGGTCTGGCATGCACATAGGAAGGCCCTTGCCCTACTATATGTACAAAAGATAAGACTAAAAAGATCATGATATGAGACACTTAGTTCATTGTTAGAGGTGGTCAGCTCTGACATGTGTCACGTATAAATGTTAATTTGAAGCTTTTAAAACACATTAGTCTGTGTTTTATAGAAATCAAAAGATTAGGTATTACAGTTCAAAAATGTTCATTTAATGTTCACAGCTGAACCATTCATTTTAAACCACAAAGTATTTGTTTTGGGGCTGTGGTGGCCTGAACCAGTGATTTCATTGTATGAGAACTCCCTCTGCCATTGCAAACTGGTTGAAATGTGTAACTTACAGTCTTAGAGAGCACAGGGAACCCAGAGGTCAAGGGACACCCTCATGACCTCTGGAGCAGGACTTGAACCTGGCGCTAAGGTTTGTCCTTCAAAATTTATTCTTCACCAAAAGTAATTTTTTATAGAGAAGAATGAAGTCACTGCCTGCTATGAACTTTTGGAAAGAAGAGAATCATCACCTAATGAACACTGTTTGAAAAACTATTAAGTGACATTGAAATGAATGTGCAGTCCCCTACCACACTGCTGAGCACACAAGCCTTTCTTGACAGCTACTTGTTTGATGGGGAGTAAATGAAAAGCAAGTCTCCTCTCAGTCTTCTGACCGCCACACACGGGGACCAGATAGAGTCATTGTAGGGGTTCAGATCAAAGCAAGATGGAGGAGTCTGGTTTGATTCTCAGCTGGTATGGCTTTCTCTATCTTATATAAAAATGTATTTTTAAGCTTTATTATTTAACTTCAAATCTGTGATTAGGATATTTCCACAAGTCCAGTACCTAATGTAGGAACTGGAATAAGCTGGACCTCCAAGGAACATGGAAAACAAACCTTCCCCAAATCACCAGTCTCTCTACAGCACAGCAAAGTTTATGTGATCACAGAAATGGAGGTAGGCAAGTACCTGTGGGCTGGCACAGTCATTTAATCCCTATTTTCCTCAATCATGGATTCTGAAAAGAAAAGGAATTCTAACTATTTTAGCAAAAAAGATGTTATATACACTCCCTCCCTTTTTGGGGGGAGGAAGAAAATTGCATATTACTTTTATCTATGTGGTAGACTGTTCATTTAGACATGGAACTGAGTGAAAAGGAATTTTTCCTTTTCCAGAGCTGCTTAAATTGACTTTCTGAAAACATCACCATTTATATTCACTAAACAACTGCAATTTAGTTATCTCTTAAAATGTGATCTTTGACAATAGCTCAAAATGCCTACATTTGTTTCACATTTATGTTCCTTACTACCAATTTTCATTTTAAAACTTTTCTTTCCAAGTGTTTTTTTATTTTCACTTAAGACAAAAAGAGTTGTTTAGATCATAATGAGAAAAGAAGGTTAAATTTTAGATTTTCTTTTCCAAATGACTTCATTACTACTTTTACTATTTACTTATTGGTTTCTACTGGCTTTTGTTTAGTCTTTGCACAGCATAGGCAGTTAATAAATGCTTGTTGGATTGAGTGGAATTCTAGAAAGTTTTCTTTAAGGGCTAAGACTACACAGTAAAACCAAGCAGAGAACTCTAAACTTACCTACTGAATTTAACCAAATTCACCCCTCCCCTACTTCATAGCACTAGGGTGTTATACATCTATCTGGATTTCAAAATCAAGAGCTTCTTCAGCTTATTTGAATAGTAGCTGTTTCTATTCTATTCAACTTGACTGGTATTTAAGGCACCCAGAGTTTTGTCTGGCTATATGGAGATACAAAAGTAGTATATTATAAAACCTCTGCCATCAAGGACTTTACAAGTAAATCCAGTTGGGGAAAGAATGCATAAATAAAATAGAGAACAACACTAGACAGAATCAGATTTAATGAGGCAGAGAATATAAGTATTGCGGGAGTTCAAGAAAAGGAAAGATCGTCATGAGACACTGAGGGATTTCACGAGAGAAGTCGACTTGAAGTAGAAAGAAGTGGGTGTAATCTCCTATGGAGCCAAAGCAGTTTTAGGATTCAATCTAGGCTTCAGATCCACCCTATGGATAGAGACCACCAGGGGGCAGCCTTCTTTGGTTTGGTCCAAAAGAGGGGCAAGCTGGAGTTTGGAAATATTGTACTGTGAGGAAATCCAACTGAATTGGAAAATGAGAGGAGAAACCAAGTACTTTACTTCAGAAGAGCCAGGCAGGAATGCTGAGAAGAGCACCAGACCCCAAGCAAATGCCTGGGAGATGAGCCAAGAAACAAAGAAGGCAGAGCTGAACAGGCTGGGTGACTACACTGCTTGAAAGTCAACCGGGAAGGGCAGGTAGGATCAGAACAGAAATCTCAAATGAAGTGAATTGCCTTTGCACTGTGTGGGTTCCAAGGGAGACTGAGCCAGAGGTAGGCACTGAAATGGAGAGGGAATTTTGGGCTTGGGGAATAACATGAGGATAGCATGGGCATAAGCACAGTCTTTTCAGGGGCCAGTGCCGGACCCCTCTCGGCTTCTGTTGGCAAGCAGTAAATGATAAGGTTAGGTAAGTGATTTGGAACTAGGAAGGGCTTTGAATGCCAAGATAAAGAGTCTGACCTTTATTTGATACACATTGGGATTCACTGTAGGTTTTTAAGGAGGAAAGTGATAATAAAAACTGTTTTTATAAAAACTGTTTTTAGAAAAACCAATATACTACCCACTACATTTATTAAGTGCTTGCTATGTGCCAGGACATGTGCTAAGCATTTATAAGCAAGATTCTGAGAAAAGGTCCATAAGGGCTCCATCAAAGGGATCCATGACACAAAAAAAGATTGAGAATCATCCCTAATTTAGGAGAGAAATGTGACTGAAGTTAGTGACATCACAAAGGTATGAATAAGTTAAATATAGATTTGTTCACTAAATCCCAGAAGACTAGCAATAGTACATAGTAATCTAAGTAACATAGGCTTCTGAGATTTAGGAGAGAATGAGAAAGGGGAAGGGACCTTATTTAATAATCTAAATTCCTTACACATTCCCTATAGAATACAGAATAATTGCTCACATTGCATTGTATCATGAATATTTACTATCTATATCTTCCTCCAATAAGCATGATGGAGCAATTAAATTATCACCACTTGGGATTGTAGCACAAAATACACTCTTTGCAGATATGAAATCCAATAACAAGCTTAAATAATACACAATTGCATATGATAAAGTCTGCCAAGGTTAACCATTATCAGATAGGTTTACAGTATCTTAAAAGATGGAATTTAAAATTCAAGGGCCATAATAAAATTTTGAAAAAGCAACAAAATATTAGCTATATTAACTATTCTCATGAGGAATGACGTCTAATAGAGGTGATTATGCATATATACATATCTCTGTGTGTGTGTGTGTGTGTGTGTGTGTGTGTGTGTGTGTGTGTATGCGTGTGTGCATGTCCTGGTTGTAGGCCTCTTCCTTAGATGTGTGTAGGCCCCAGAAGAGAGCCCAACCAAGTGACTCATCCTAAGAGAGAGAGATGACTGGAAAGGACATATGCTTAACAGTATTGAGAGTGGACAACTGAATCCTTTGTCACCTCTGTGTAAGATAGGATTGATGGGCTACCTTCCTGAGCAAGGAATAGGGATGGCTCTTGGGACAATCACATTACTCTATCCTTTACCTGTATTTCAATCTAGGAAAAAGAGGAGAATGCAAGAATAGGTTAGAACTTAGAACTTTTCCCCTCTGTGCGTAAGAGGTACACATTGCCTGGTATGAAGTGATCAGCAATGCGTTAAGAACAAGTGGTATTGGCGATCAACTAAATCAGAAGAAGCTTCCTCCCCATCCCCTAACATATAGTAGCATATGAAAGACCAAAAATAATTGGCTGTTACCTAGTAATTATACTTAAATTGATTTTAAAATGAAACTTTAACATTTCATATGTTCTATTAAATGGATTTTAAAATGCAAAATAGAGTTTTGAAGCATGCTGATCTGTCTCTGAGAACAGTCCATTAAGGATATGAAAAGGTGTTTAACTGCCAGCATTGACAGTAGAACTAATGAGCAATTAATCTAACAGGTTAATTATTTGGTGACTATTATGTCACTTGGTTACTAAAGATGTGAAGAGCTTAGGGAATCTCAATACGATCTAAAAAAGAAATGTATGACAGGCAAGGAATGCAGATAATAATAAGGAACCAAATTTACTTCAGCTTTGTTTAAAGGAGATTATCCTACAATGACTCAGTTTGCTATATACTGAATGTAGAAGCTGCTTTTGAATACCTGTACAGTGGAGTGTAAAAAAGCCACGGTGTACAGCATTGGCTTCCACATGGGCAAATTGCTGACATCAAGGAGGTCTTGATTAATTCCCGCAAATGTTCTTTTCAAACCTGCACGTACCCCTTGGGGTGGTTCATTAGTGAACTTTATAGAAGTCTGTCATAAAAAGCAAATATATTAGTTTTACTCATGAAAAATTCACACAAGAAGACAAAAAAAACTAATTAAAAAGAAGTCAACATATTTATGACACAAATAACTTGAGCTGAAATTCAGCCAAGTACCCACTAATTAAATTGAATACAGCCAATAAGCTATAAATTAGTATCTCTAAATTAGTATGTTATAATTCACTTGTGGGAATGTTAACTATATAATCTTGATGACAGCATATGATTTTTACAATGCAGATTCTGTTAGTGTCCTGAATAATTTTGTATTTATCCAAATTACTCTAGACTTATTTGTAGAGCTAGAGCAATTTAACAACAACAATTTAACAACAAATTTCCCCAGTACTGTGAAATTTCCAAAGGCTTTCCTCAGGTCAACTCTTTTGGGGATAGGTAGTGTGTAATTATAACCATTTTACAGACGAGGAAACTGAGAGGAAAATGATTTGCTCATGGTCTCACAGTTATCACAGACTCCAGATGTCATGTAACAAACCTGTAACAATGTGATTGGAAATTTTTCATGCACTTCGGTAGTTATCCAGACTCGGAAAGTCTCATTACTAGCTTCGGTGGTAAGCAGTGTTTCTAACAATTCTTCCATGAACTCTAGGCCAAGATGACAGTTCTGAAGTAATACCCAGCCACCCTGTATACAAAAAATAATCTGTTACTCAATTTTGGAACAAAAACTAACAGTCATGGATGTCATTTTTGCATTGTCGTAGACCGGATGTATAAATTCTTTTATGCCATATATGGTTTAAAAATTCATTTTATGTTTTCATATGGTCATTTCATTTGTTACTTTGATGAACAAATAACTTCCAAAACCAAATGGATTTGAAATCATTTTCTGCATTATCTAGTCCAGTAGAGGAGTGCAAGAAAAACAGCTAGCCTGAGTTACGTAGTACAGTGTGAGCACCATCTAGCGATGTAAATGGGTACTTTGCAGGCTGTAATGGCCATGCCCTAAACCTACATTTTTATTACTTATAATAAATCAAGTATTGAAATATTTAAGAAATTACAGCAGCCAAGGAGAGGCCAGCAAACTCAATATGTTACTTTTTAACAAAGACTGATCCATCAGATTTATATTCTTTTGCTTTTGTAACATTTCTGGAAAACTACAAGTTATTGCTGGATAGTAGTGATTAAATCCAAAACTGAAGGAAATAAATGATCTGTCATTATAGTGTTGAGCCTGATTCTCTCTTTCCCCTGCTAACCCACACACCATACAACTTAAGAACAAACCACACAGTCTAGTTGTACAGTTAGCATTTTTCCTATTAGACTGGGTCTATGTTTTACTCATCTTTGCATTCTACCCAAAAGAGTAAGACAATACATAACATATTTGTACAAAACAAATATTTGTGGAACAAGTGAATGAATGATGAGAAATAGCAAGAAACTAGAAAACCAGGCAAAAAAAGGAAGATTACAGAATTTTGAACTTCTATGCTTTTTCTGAGCATGGTGTACCAATGGGGAGTGAGGGAGAAGACTTCAAGCATCCCCCCTAAACTTTCTTCCCATGCACCCTAGGAAAACTCTTAACCCTTCCCTGCTGAATAAGATCAGACTTAACAAGAATCTGTGGGCTTTGTGGCATTAGCCTAGGCATTTTTGTACTATTATTGATGTGAGATTTCTCATGGGGATTTGTGGGAAAATTCTAATCAAAGGAAGTCTTTTCAATTTCCTTTATACTTCCACTGAGAGATATGTGGGTTGCTTTTTATTTATTTTTATTTTTTTACTTTTTCCTTCTTTTTGGAAAGTAAAACCCAAGTATAATTCTTTTTTAAAATCAGGAGTCACTTTACAAAGTTTTCCTCTTTAACAAATAAGAATTAGACCTCAAATAGTTATGAATTATCATTATCTGCAACATTTATTGAGCACTTATCTATAAGTCACAATGCCATTCTTGCTCCAGAATAGCATTCTTTCTAATTCACACAACATTAAAATGCACATTCAACCAGGCTAAGACTATATATCCTCAATAAATTAAGACTGAGGTAAGGACCAATTTCCTGAATATTATCTGGACACTGTGTGAACTATATATAGTACTCAAAGTTTTTATACATTCCATTAGCATTTTCCCCACTGTGGGAAATAAAAAATAAAAGACCATAGGTCCATATATTTGTAGTTAGGAACATTAGAGGTCATCTAATCTAAAGCCCTGCTTTTATAGCCGAATAAACTGAGGCCCAGAGGGGTAAAGTGATAATAGTATGTGACAGAACTGAGATCTGAACTCAGATACTCTGATTCCAAAGAGCTTGTAGTATCAGGCACAGTTAAAATGAACCTCCCGGATATAAGTAACAAGGTAACAAGGTCTTTATTCACGGAAACAGCAGCAATAGAGGTTCAAAATTCAACTGAAGATTTGCTCTGTAAAGTGAATACTTTGGTTCACCAAGTAAGAATAGACTGTATACATATAACTATTTCCACATGATATTTATTAAAGTTAATTAAGCAAAAAAGATTGAGGCTTTGGGTTTTCTGGGGATTAATGACTAGCTAGAAGAGGATGATGACCTAAAGCAATGTTTCAGGTCGTTAAACCTTCTCCAGCCATTAATTTCAAAGAATATGTGGCATCAAGGCTATTACTCACATTCTAAGATGGAAAGTTTAAAAATAAGCCAGTGAATTTATTTTATTTTATTTTTTAATGATGCTACTTCTTCAATTGCTATGATAGGTCCAGGGCATTTCTAGAGAATTAATGTCCTGTGCATTTATTAGGTTTTATATGAATTATAGCTCAAAATTCTATTCAGCTTACAGTTATTAATAAAAATTAATATCAATACTTGAACTTAGCATTCTGAAGTGCTTCTTACTTGCCTGAAATCATCCTTAATGAAAAATGAATGCCTGAAGTTAACAAAAAAATTGAGGCTTAATTGTTTTCATCTGTCACTTCCTAAGTGCTATATGTCATTACTATATCATGAAATTCCAAGACTGTTAAATTTGAGTCTCTGGGAAAAGAGAAAGGACATATCTACATGATAGTTTAAAAAGTTTTGATGACAAAGAAGCTGAATAGCTTTTTCGGGTCAGAGAAAGCAGAACCTCAATCACCAAACCCAGTATTTCCTCATAGATGTCGGTAGGAATTGGTTTGAATTTTAAAATTTTTCATAAGAAAAGTATATAAGGATAATTATTAATTGAAAGTTTATTAAATACATAAATAAGAATGGAAAAATGAACTCTTTATCACAAGGATATATCTTTCATCTCCATGTTTGCACGCATCTACCTGCTTTTTCAAATATTGTTCGTGTAGGAGAAATATCTAAGGGCAGAGATTTCTAACCAGGGCAACAATTATTAAATGTGCAGGACATCCAAATGAATGGGCAGAGGGAGAGATAATAGATGACAAAAGAGAGCATCTGGACTCCTACTTCCTACATACCTGTTGCATCGACATCTGTACCAGTTTGCGAGCATGAACTTCTTGACCTTGGCCCATAGAGATTGTTCTGCATTCTGTAACATATGAAAAATATCACTGTTATATATTCTCACCTTGTGCAACAATGACACACTTAAGTTTGATTTTCTGTCCATGTGTCAGTTAGGGGGCAGCTCAGTGGTACAGTGGGTGAAGTGCCAGATCTGGATTCAGAAAGACCTGAGTTAAAATGCGGCCTCAGACACTTAGCAGCTGTATGACCCTTGGCAAGTCACTTAACCCTATTTACCTCAGTTCCCCATCTGCAAAATGAGCTGGAGAAGAAAATGGCAAACCAGTTTACTGTCTTTACCAAGAAAACCATAAATGAGATCGTGCAGAGTCAGACACAACTGAAGTGACTGAATGACAACAACCATGTGTCAGAGTACACAGTAAGTGCTTAATTAAGAGCTGTTGGGTTTGATCTGAGGCATTGAGGAAGTCTTCCAGTGGGTCCAGAAGGTACTCTTTCAGTGTTCATTCTCCTGTCTCAATAAAGGCTGACCACTCACACGGAACTCCCTGACACAATGCCTGTGGGGTGACCCACAGGGACAGACCACCACTCCAATCCCACTGGAGTTCTCCGTGGGGAGAATTACTGTGACAGGCCGTTGGCTCCATCACTTAAATGTGCCCTGTGGAGAAATGTGCACAAGAGCAGCCGTGCCCGCTGCTGGCTCACGCATTTTCTTCCCTCAAGTTCTGCTTCAGCGCCTCACTGCAGTGTGAGGTATAGGCTAAGTCAAGCTCAGTCGGGTGAGAAGCGAGAAAGTGAGAAAGGCTTTGAGGAGGGTCACAGGGATGGACAACACAGCCACCATCTGAGAGCCAGCCCAGCTCTCCACCAGCAGGCTGATCACCAGGGAATAGTCTTTTTCAGTCAAAACTACTCAGGAAAATTGGTTTAAGGTGGAGGAAGAGTTTTAATCTGCATTGGCAGAGTGTTCACACCTACAGAACCAAAGGTGCTTGAAATATGATTTGTGTGTTATTTAACACACTATGCAGTTGCAAGTGAGGGGAAAAAACCCACTAAAAAAAGTAAATTTGTGTATATTTCTGAGGTTATGAGTTGGACTTGTTTATTTTCATCTCTCATCATACAGCTGGTTATTTTTTTCCATGCACAGAACACTCACTGACATCTAGAGGAGGAGGCAGTATGGACCAATGGCCCTGGATTCAGAAAATCTGGCTTAAAATCCTGCCTCTGACACAGTCTGTGTAATCTTGGGCAAGCCACTCAATCTCCCTGAACCTGTTTCCTTATCTGTGAAATGAGGGGTTTATGCTCCATGGCCTCTGAGGTCCTTTCTTGTTCTTAATGTTTGATCTATCAGAGTTATATGGGAGGTAGCAGGGAGTTTTAAAATCGGGCTCTTTACAGCAGCCCTCATCAATTGTTTATGTTTAATTTTTTTTGGTAATGACAAATTGTTTATATCACTCATACTTGAAGTTTCCTACATAGAAAATCCTTTGCTAACAATTTAAACTACATATTTAAGTTTAAACTAGAGAAGCAAACACAACTACAAACATTACATACTCAGAATTAGCCTTAAGCAACATTGTAAAGTGGGAAATTTTGTTTTCAGTACTTCTCTAAATCTTCATACTTTCCTTATTTCCTAGGTACCCACCTAGTACTCCTATGTTGTCTTTTGGAAGTTCAAAGCCCCTGAGTTCAAAGCTCTACCAGCAGTAGATATAAAAGTCCATGTTCAGGACCTTTCCTTCTCCAAATTCCTCCACTCCCCATTAAAATTGCTGTCCCATGCATGACCCATTCTATGAGTCCTATAAGGGGATAGTAATCTAATGAGAAAAGTTAGACCAATCAACATGAGCTTCCTCTTCTCATCATCTCAAAAGTCCTTGCCTGCATTTTCCACTCTCTCCTCCTTTTCCCAATCTCTGATAATGAAGTGGCCCTTCTCCTTGCCAAGACAAACTCTTCTATATGTGCCTGTGATGTCATCATCTCCTTCTCCAACAGACTGCCCTTCAATCACCCTCCTTCTTTAATAGCAAACTTTATCTACTAGCTCCCTCCTTACTACCTTCAAACACACTTGTCTCCCTACCCTTCAGCAGGCCCTACCATCTTCTCAAGCTATAGACTTATATCTCTCCTCCCTTCCTCACCTAAACTCAGAAAAAGTTATCTCAAATTTCATAGGAAACTGGGAAGATCTCCACAATCTAATGCAAAGAGAAGTGAGTAGAATTAGAACAATTTATACAATGACAATATTATAGAGAAAAACAACTTTGAAAGACTTTAGAGTTCTGGTTAACACAATCATGAATCAGGAGTTGAAAACACTTTAGATGAATTATGCTACCCACCTACTGCCAGAGAGGTGACTAAAAATGTGAAATGAAATATATACATGTATATATTAATATTTCATGTCTATGTGTGTACACAAATATAGGTACATATACAATTATATTATATGTTGTAATAATAAATGTAACACACACATTACATATAATCAGTTCTTTCATACATACATATATATATAATCATTTCTTTCAAACATAGCCAAGAATTTGTTTTGCTTTATTACGTATTCTGAGGATTTTATAAAATTGTTCATTTTGAAAGGACTGTGAGAGGGAGAGATAATAAATCCTTGTAAAATTGAATTTTTATAAAAAAGAAAAAAATTTCTACTTTCATTGCATCTACTTCTCTTCTCACTCCTTAATCTATTGCAATCTGGCTTCCAATCTCATCACTCAACCAAAACTTCTCTCTCCAAAGTTACCAGTAATCTCTGGGTTTTCAAATCTCATTTTTTCTTCTCAGTTCTCATTATTCTCAACCTATCTGCTGCATTTAACTCCCTCTGCTACACTGACTACCCTCTCCTTCTGAATACTTTTTTTTCTCTGGAATATTGTGACAGTCTTATGGTTCTCCAACTTTTTGACTGCTTCTCAGGCCCTTTTAAATTTTTTTATTAAATTTATTTATTTATTTTTAGTTTTCAACCTCCACTTTTATAAGATTTTGAGTATAAATTTCCCCTGCTCCTTTCCCTCTCCCTTCTCCAAGACAGCATGTAATCTGATATGGGCTATACATGTACTATCATATTAAGCATATTTCCATGTTTATCATGTTGTGAAAGAAGAATCAGAACAAAAAGGAAAAACCACAAGAAAGAGAAAAAAAAGAAAAAGAAAACAGAATGCTTTGATCTGCATTCAGACTTCACAGTTCTTTCTCTGGATATGGATAGTATTTTCCATTATGAGTCTTTTGGAATTGTCTTAGATCACTGCATTGCTGAGAAGAGCTAAGTCTATCAAAGCTGGTCATCACACAATGTTGCTGAAACTGTGTACAATGTTCTCCTGGTTCTGCTCACTTCACTCAGTATCAGTTCACGTAAATCTTTCCCAGTTTTTCTGAAGTCTGACTGCTCATCATTTCTTATGAAGCAATAGTATTCCATTACATTCATATACCATAATTTATTTAGTCATTCCCCAATTTATGGGTATCCCCTAAATTTCCAATTCTTTGTCAGGCCCATTTGTTGACTCATAATATATATAATGTCCCTTAACTGTGAGTGTTCTCCAATGTTCTGTCTTGGGTCCTCTCCTCTTCTCTCCCTATGCTCTCCCTCTGGGATGTACTATTTCTGCTTCTATCACACTGCATCATCACCATTACCACCATTATCAAACACACTCTAACAGGTTAAATGTTAAAGGTCCTGGATCTTCCTCCTCAAACCTTACCCTCTGAATTCCTTCAGCCATTGGTCTGAGATTTCCTGAACCCAGTCCACATCTTCCTATATCAACAACTTTCTCTTGAACCCCTGCTCAATCTAAAAGGACCTCAAATTTGCTGTCTCCTGTCCTGTGCCAGATGTCCTGGGTTCTGAGATAGTAGAAACTCTGTGCCATGAAATTGTGAATTTCCTGCTTTGGGAGGATTAGGAGTACAATGACAGTAAGAATATAATCCTGGAGGGTAGGGAGGTAAGACTCAGACCAAATTCAGAAAAATTTATCTCAAATTTCATAGGCAACTGGAAAGATCTCCATGATCTAATGCAAAGTGAATTGAGCAGACTTGGAACAATTCACACAATGACAACATTATAGATAAAAACAACTCCGTTTTTCAAACAGCAGAGACAATGCAGAACAGAAAAGAAGAAAGAGACAATGAATTTCCAGCATTGGTGAGTGCCAGGAGAAAAATGTGAGGAGGGACAAAATGAAGCATCAGCTTCTACACAAAGCTTTTCTTGTTCCCCTCAACTAATAGGGTCCTTCCTCAATAATTATCTTGTAATGATTTTATATTCTATAGAGGGGCAGTGATTCTCTTCATTTCTGTACTCACTGTGTAAGAAAATACAAAAATTACAGCATATACTTATATACCTTTATACTGGCATACTTAAACTAAACCTATGAAAGGGATAATGAGGCTAAATATTTATTTCATCTGAGTTTTTTTGGGGAAAATTCTAAGAATAAATATAAAAAGGGAAATTCAGGGGCTAAACAATGTACCAACTATGCAGTTTCCAAACATATGAGGTTTTGTTCATACCCAGTTTAAGCTTTTTAGCAAGTGCATCAATTTGATTAGTTGGATCAGATCCCATGGACAGGAAACATATGAGAGGTGTTCGTGTGTCACTTTCTTCCCAAGTTTTCTCAAGGTTTAAGATCACTGGTTCTGTGTATTTCTCTTCTAAAGAATCTGCAATATATTTCCTTGCTTGGAAAACTGTACGATCTGGGCACCAGGACCTAGGAAAAGTTGAAGAAAAGAAATTCAATGTGTACATTTTTATTCTAAGTTCAAACTCTGTAACTTTATTAATAGGAACATGACAATCTCAATTTTTCACCTTGCAGATGTATGGAAAAGGGAGCGGAAATATGCCCAGGAGAAAGTGCAAGATGTCCTAAAGGCATGCTAAAAGAGGCTCTCCCTGGTCGGTCACTAAGACACCCCTTCCCACCCGCTTCAACTTACAGGACAAAAGATTCATCAAGTCAGAAGGATCTGTGACATAGTATGGAGTCTTAAAACCTCATTCTGTAAGTGAGGAAATTCATTTGCTCTAAAACTGCTTAGCAAATTGATTAACTAATAGTTACATGAGACAGACACTAGCACCAGCTTAGTAATTCTTCACTAAAAGTGAATACATTCCAGGAAAGATGCAGAGGGGAGTTTTTCTTTTCTAATTATGGCATCATAGGTTGTATTACTAGACACTGTGATGCTATAAAGCACAGTAAAGGTTTAAAATTAAGGAGACAGTCAAGGTATTGTGACAAAAGCAGTAGATTTGGAATAAGGAAACGTGGAATCTTATTCTGGTTCTATGTGACCTTGGGTAAGTCACTTCATATCTTGTAAAATGAAGAAGTTGGACTAGATGACTTTTAAGTCCCTTCTAACTCTAAATTCTATGGTCTGTGATCTAAGTCAACACACATATATTAAGCCCCTAATATGCATGTGCTATATAGAGCTCAATGCAGAAGCTACAAAAGAAAGAAAAGATTAGGTAGAGAGCCAGTGTGGTCCAGAGTAACAAGCACTGAACTTCTGTGAAACCTTAAAATTGAAAATGGAGCCTTACTTACACAGTCACCTACGCAACTTAGAACAAATTACTTAACCTTCATGGGCTTCAGATCTCTGTTAAATGTTTGATGACAAACTCTTTCCCTCCTATCCTACCATAGTCAAATGAATGCTGGACATACTTTAAGTTTAATATGCATTATTACCATTCTCTCCATCATGTCATTAAGTCTAGACAATCACCGAAGCAATAAATCAAGATTTCTGATTTGTGGCGTCTGCCAATTTCCAAGGTGTAAATCAATGCTCACAATGAAAACTTAGCAATTGGCTCTCAAAAACCAACTGGAGCTGGCTCCAGTACACCCCTGTTCCAGCTCTAGTCTATGCTCTGATAGGACCAGATGACTTCTAAACTCTCATCTAGCTTTAGATCGGTGATTTCTGACCCCAAGGAGCTTCCAATCTATCTGGTGAGGCCAAGTACACAAATGAAACAACTCAAATGAAGATTTTAAAAGAAGGAAACATGTAAGTGAAAATAAATGTAGTACACACAAACAACACATCCAATATGGAAAGCTTCTCTTGCTGAATTTCTTAGTATTAATAACAAAACAAAAAACAGACAAACAAAAAAAAAAACAGAAGAGAGAGAGAAGCTTCTGTTACTTTTTTTTCCTAGCTGTCAAAATAATACTTGCCATTTCAGTGGAACAGGACCTTTACCCTCTTTCTATGGTGACATAATGGTATATTTTATAAACTTCAACTGCATTTCAACTTTATGAAAAATTTCTGATCGGAAAATATGACCAATATGAATCATAAACTATCTCTTCAAATTCTAATATGAAAAACATTAATGCCAAAACTTAAAAATATATAACTTTCCTTTTCTTTTTTTTTTCTTTTTGTTTGTAAACAGACTGAATAGTCAGTACACAGAACTATATTCCACAGGGACATAGCCTCACTTAGCCACCAGATGTAAAATCTTTCCCCATCAACTGCAGATTACAATCATGATAGAGAATATAGGACAATGTACTTAAGAGTGAATCCAGGGGCAGCTAGGTGGCGCAGTGGATAGAGTACTGGCCCTAAAGTCAGGAGGACCTGAGTTCAAATTTGGCCTCAGACCAAACACTTGACACTCACTAGCTGTGTGACCCTGGGTAAGTCACTTAACCTCAACTGCCTACAAAAAAAAAAAAAAAGAGTGAATCCAGCCTCTGGCTCTTACTAGTGGTGTGACCATGGGCAAGTCACTGGGCACATTCTCTATGCCTCAGTTTCTTGATGTATAAAATGAAGGGGTTGGATTCAATGGTCTTTAAGTTCCATTCCAACTCTAGATTCTATGATCTGTGATTTAGTAGGGAGTTTCCTGGGGTCTGATCTAATTAATCAGTTTCCTGATTAGGTGACTTGTCCAGGGTCATTTAACTAGTCACCATCATAGGTGGAGTTTGAATCTAGAATTTCGAGACTTCAAGCACTGTACTCTATTCACCATACCAGCTGCAAAGAGGCACCTATGTTATTTATGCTGACCATAAGGCCATGCCAAAATCTAAGTTTAATGTAGAAAGAACTGTAATTTGCTGACATAATGAATGCTTCCAAGTCCGATAAATAATAACTCTCACCTGATAAGCAAAAGTTTGCGATAAGTATCTAGTGAATCATTATATCCATCAGGAATGATTTCCTCCTCAGGAGCATCTTTGTCAAACCAGTTTTTCCATCCCTTCTCATTACGAGCTATCTAAAAGCAACAAAAAATTAGCAGTTATATATACTGAATATTAATATAACAGTAAGGTGACAATTCAGTACCCATATATGTACACACAAACTGTGTATAAACTCAATTAGAAGTTAATATTGGAGAATTGTAGAGAAGCATCCTTTTCAATGAAGATGATTTAAGCTTTTATATATTTAATTTCCTCAACTAGATTTTAACTTTAATATTCTTGATGGCTTTACTCCTTTTTTATCTCCTACCTACATTGCAAAACTGTACAAAAATAGTAATACTCATTAAATAATTGTTCACTGACTGAAAAAAACCATTTTGCTAATGTCAAATAATGTTTTTCAGTTTTCCTTTTTTTTCAGTTTTCTAGTTTTCTTTAAGTAAAACTTAAAAATTTAAGAGTATCCTAAAAATTGATGAGAGGAGTGCCTAAAGAGCAAGTCTTCTGAGTTCTAGTGTCCTGGCTTTATGAATCCATGTGCCTCAAGCAGCTCTCTGAGACTCAGTTACAGCCTTAGTGATGATGATCTGCATGGGTAGAAGTTGTTTCCACATCAGTAGTTCTCCGATGCTGATGAAACCATTGGTTTGGTTAAAAAATGAAAAAAAAAAGAGAAAAAGAAATAACATTGTATGAACTATGGAACATTTGTCTAAATTTCAGGTTCTTTGTATTTAGTTATTTCTAAATAGTCAGTTTGTGTCTGCAAGTGATATTCAATTAAAGAATCACAGCATTTCAAAATTGTAAGGGGTAACAGATGGTATCTAGCCCAATATATACCTGAAAAATAATTTCCTCTACAATATACTTGACAGGCAGCCTTTCAGCCTTTGTTTTAAATCTAACTCCAGAGACTCTCTGTATTTTGAAAGGTGTGTGTGTGTGTGTGTGTGTGTGTGTGTGTGTGTATGTGTGTGTGTGGAGGAAGGTACTTTGGCATATGGTATTTGTTATCACCATAGTGCCAGAGCTTCTATCCCAGTCTGAAGAATGCGGAGATGAAACAGAACTCATCTAGATTCTCTGTAGGGAGTGAACAAGTGAAAAGAAGTCCTTTGACCCATAAAAGAGAGGATGAGGAATCATGCACACCTTACACTGTATACCTTTGCTTTTTCTCCTGGCTCCTGGATTTTTTCTTTCAATGTTTGGTTTTGGTGGACAAAATGGGAATTTCAGGACAGTTTTTGCTGGGGAAGGGGAGGTAGTTGGTACGTTTGAAGTGGAGGAAGGATAAGAGAAGTTGAAGTTAAATTATATTTGATCACAGAAAGAAAGAGTTAGATATATATACATTTGCTCAGATTCTGCTACCCTGCCTCTCTGCCTTCATACAGCACAAATGGCACTCAGTCATTAGAGAATATGATGATGTATGGATAGGAAAGAGAAAATTTGTTAAAAGAATGATGTGTCACATAGAATGTTTGTCAAAGCCAGATCAACAAATGTTACTACGGATTCTGAGAGCTAAAATGAGGTTATACCATACAGGGCCCTTCTATGCATGCCCAAGAGAAGGCATTGGGTTTTTAAAACATGTTTATACATTATATAGAGAGTTTGAGGTACTTGGTTTTTGTTCAGAGGTCATTTGTACAACCCTGAGTAGGAGAATAAAATCATTGCGCTCCAAATTCATTCTTCTAGAATGAATTTAGTAGAAGGAGGTCTTATGACTTAAGGAGGTCATGACTTTGGCACTGATGGTGGGCACAACTAGATTGTACCATCCAGGCAGTTTATTGGCTCTACTAAATCTTGTCTATGAATAAATTTAATTACTTATCCTTTGATCTAGAGTTAAAGAGTACAAAATAATTTATTATGGCTTCATGACAACATAACTGTACCTTTGAAATAGATGCCAAAAAGTAATAAGTGTAGATACACAAGTACATTTCAGAGAATATTTTTATATGTGAATATTAAGTTGAATCAAATATCAGAAAGCAATATTTATGAGAGATGGGAGCAAGAGGAGGCTCTGTGAACCTCTACAAAGGCAACTAGCCAGTTGCCAGAGTAGTATTTGTACTTTTCCATACATGGACAAAGATTACATCTTGTCATGAAACACATATGTCTTTAGTGTAAAATATTGAGAAAATATCTGGGAATGTTTGCAAATGTAAAAATCTTCGAACATTAGTGAAAGGGAAAAAAGGTAATGATGATGATATGGATAGAGAGGGAAGCTAGAGCCCATGTTTTCAGAGCTGCAACAGTTAAAAGATCCTTTGCTCTAATGATTAGCAACATTAGCAACATTTTATTTGCCAATATCTGCTCCTGCAGTTGAGGCTTATCACAGGGCAGACACCATAACTATTTTAAGGTGTTCCCACAATTAAAAAACCAGTCCAAATTCTCTATAATAGAAAATTGAAGGCACTGAAAAACACAGAGGAGACTTCCTTAACTCCCCTTCTTCCCTTTAAGCCTCTCGCTTACAAATGTACGCTCCTTGAGGACAGGCAGTGTGATTTTTGCCTATATTTGTATCCCGAATAATTCATATAGTAACTGGCACACAGTAAATGCTTAATAAATTTATCCTTCCTTCCTCCCTTCCTTCATAAAGAATTGGATTATAATACTTTTGGAGCAGGAAGGGACCTTAGAAATCATCTAACTTCCTCCCTAGTGCCTTTACAATTTAGGAAAAGAAGCTCTGAGAGATAAAGTGACTTGCCCCAAGTAATGCATTAATCAGTCAATAAACATTTATTAAGCACCTACTACGTATTAAATGTGTGGGGCTAGCAGCAAAAATGATTGGTTGGTGCCCAGATCTCCTGACTCCCATCTGTAGCAGTAGGCAAGTAGTAGCACCAGCAAGAATAATCATGGATGACCATGGACAATGAAGGTATTCAGCTAACAGCAAGGCAGGGCAAACTGAAATACCAGCTTAAAACAATCTAGATATACAAATATGAATTAAAATGACAAACAAGAGCTAATTAAGATAAATAGCAGCCCAGAGACAACTATTCCATCAGAAGAAAGCTAAAGTCATTACGTAGCTACCCAGTTTGCTTATAGCAAAGCACAAGCTAACTATGACCAAGCTTAATGTGCAGAGTATTGTACACTAAAAGGAGTTCTAAAATGAGATCTGACAAATATCTCCTTCCTTAAGGAACTTAAAATCTAATAGCAAAGGTCAATTTAATAATATACTGTCTATATCTGAGGATGACCTGCTGCCAGTAGGTTATTCTTCCAGGACTGGTGCTATCTAGTCACACTCTCCACCGAGTATCCTTCATGACCCAGGGCCCACATTTGCCAGATGGGGTGGGAGGTACAGGCTGTGGCCACAGAAGAGAGCAAAATTAAATCATGCGTGCAAGAGTAGAACTTACGACCCTCACCCTCATTAAGTGCCCCACTCCAACCAACCATAAATGGGCAGATAAATGTGTTCTTAATCAGCTTGAAATGAATATGAATAATTGTCATTAAAAAGAAGAAGAAACACTATTGTTTGCTGTGGAGGGATGACAATTTTATCATAAGATCAATGCCAGCTCTGACTTTGCTTTATTGCTTTATTTGTCAGTCAGCACCAACTGCAGAAGACAGAGCTAATTATCAGGCCCTGACACTTATGAAATCACACACACCTGACATTCCAACAGTGACAACACATCAGTTACAACCATCTTTTTTCTGAGTTGTACAATTATCTTCCAGTGATAGTTTAATCAACTTTGCTTAATCAGAAACAACTAGATGAGCATGTTCAAACAAAGGAAGAAAAGTAGGCAATGAAGGTGACCCATCTTCACCATGTGAAAGAAAATGATTAATGGGAGAGAAGAAAATGTTAAAAATAGGACATTTTCTTATTTCACTTGGGTATGAAATAAGCACTAAAAACATTCATATCAGGGTGGGGAATCAGAAGAGCCTGCTAAACCTGCTTGACTGGGGTGCTTCCCTGGCTCCTACTTTTGATGATATGTACACCCTGGCCTCTCACTGAAGAAGTGAATGCAGGTTTCTAGTTAGTACCTGTGATAAAAATTGTTTTTCAGTGGTTTCAGTAGTGTTTGAGTTTTCATGAGCCCATTTGGGGTTTTCCTGGCAAAGATACTGCAGTGGTTTGCCCTTTCCTTTTTTAGCTTATTTTACAGATGTTGTTGTTGTGTTTGTCCTTTGTTCTCGAAGAAGACCATGACAACAGGGAGATGATGACATGACTTGCAATTGACTTTGATTTAAGTGAGGGAGGGCTGTGCAAGGTCACCAGCCTCACTTTGTCCTCCAGAACCATCTGGGTTCAGTGGCCAAATATTCATGAGGATGACTGGAGATGGCCCAGGATGTAGTGGGAGCCTTTAGCCCTTTTAAGCTAAGGTCTAAAAAGACCTTAAAAGGTTTGGAAGACCTAAAAAGGTTCTTACTTTGAATGAGGCAATGCCTATTCAGTGAATAGGCCAATTTAAGAAGCGAGTCAAGGGATGGCCCCTTTAATCCAAAAAAATATCAAACTAGGAGGGGAAGACCCTTCAATGTGGCTGGCCAAAAGAGAAACAGTTACTATTTACATTCACTCTGAGCCAGGAAGGCCCCAAAAATCACCATTAAGTGGTGCTTGGGCAGAGACCAATTGTTGTCCAATCTATGAGCTCCAAAGTGAATCGGATTTAAGGCTTTTTCTTTGAGACAGAAAGTTAACTAAGGCAGCTTTCAGCCATCAAAATTTACCTTCTTTTGGGCAGAACACTCTTAGGTAATGGGAGAGGAGAAAGGAGCAGAGGAAACATTTTACAGATGAGGAAACTGAGACAAACAAGGTTGAGACAAACAAGGTTAAGTGACTTGCCCAGAGTTACACAGCTAGTAAGTGTCTAAGGCTGCATTTGAACTCAAGTCTTCCTGACCCTAGGCCTGACCTCTATCCATTGTGCCACATAACTTCCTTGAATGACAAAAACAGAACACATCAAAGAGGACTGACCAAAGAACAAAAAGAATTATCGATTCAGTAGGTTTAAAAGGAGAATTGACTTCTGCTATTGCTTTCTCTTCCTGTCTGTTGAGCATGTTGATACTTTGAGCTTTCCCTTACATACCTGTGGTGGGTCAGAGGATCACGTTCTTCTCATCTTACCCCCACAATAATTGTGACCACTATGATATTATGTCCTAGATGAACCTAAGACTAGACCTGGAGCCTCTGGCTACCTCTTAGCTTTTTGTTTCCTTTCCTGAACACAAGTGACCCAGCAGCATTTCTGAGATGGCTATTTCTGGCCTTGAGGGAAATCTTGTGAGTGTGGGAGCTCCTAGGCCTGGCTGCTAGTTGTCCAGTAAGTAAGGGTTGTTCTCTATAACAAATTCTTGGAGGAGAAGATAACTCATACAAGAAGGATACGCTTAAGTCATGCCCTGTTTTGCAGATGATATGAATCTTAAATAAATTCTTTGGACACTATAGATCCATGGTGTCACTGAAGTACCTGTTCAGCAGTACCCCAGTGTTTAATGTTTTAGGTATCAACTTTCTGGGAAAGTATAAGAGGAGTTATAAGTTACTGGTACACTCTAAGTATCTGTCAATTCACACTTAAAAATCTTTTGTGTTTAAAGAGCATGCAGCAGAAGAAATAAACTGCTGTGCTACACCTGATCAGCCTTGTACGTTGAGTACCTTTTTACCAAGGACCTTGTTGATTTCCTCTTGTATCCTTAGGGTACAGACATAATGAAAAAGAGTGTGATTAAAAATAAAGAAACAAACAAACTGATACCCTTTTCTTGGAGTCAGGTCCTCCTAGAACTGAACTGAGGTGGAAAGAGGGAATCTCTTCCCTGGGCTGTGGGTTTATATGGTTGGGGACATGTCTGGGATCTGAAGGGGTGATTTCTATCAGCCGTAGGTACTTAATCCCTTTTATGGGAGCCATGAGTTCATGGCTCAACTGCATTTGTTTTCTTTTTGTACTAATTTTGCTTTTCCTATCACAGGATAAGTTTGGACCTTCATTTCGGGCACTCTATATGTTATAGATACCTTCAGATTTTGTCTGAATCTCCATTTGAATTGTCTTATGCACTGACAGGGGCTTCACTGGGGAAATGTAGGAGCTGCCACCTGTGCTGAAGAAATGAACCCACGGGAAGAATTTTTACTAAGGCAAGTTTGGTTTCTCACCTAAGGGTGATAGATCCCTAACGACTGCTAGGAGAGCTCCACTTACTCTGGAAACTCTTTTAGGACTAGATTTTTGCTTTGAGATGTGAAATTCATTTTTTCTTTCCTTCCCTTTCTTTTCTCCAATTTTGCCAGTTTGTTTTATTTTCATTTCATTTTTTTTTCATTTTCTTTTTCCTAATTGTTTGGATTGCAATAAGCCTTTAGAAGTACTAGCCAACTGTTAACCTGTAAGAATTGTGCAAAAAGTTGTTTACTTAATAAATTTACATAACTTTGTATTTTAGAATGATTGTAATCACCAGGACCCCCAGCTATGGGAGGCCTGGGCCTTCACAAAAGACTTTTCATTGTGAGATTGTCTAAGAACTGTGATGAATGGACTGCTAGAACTCTTTCTATGGTGTCCATAGGAGGCCAGTAAGAACTGAACTGTTTGGACTTTGTTGAGACTCTTTAGTGGAAGGCACTAAGGAAAAGCCCTTGAAAGAACAATGATTGAAAAAAAAAAAACAAAGAAAGAACAATGATTGAATCTTCCCAGATCCCCAGACAACTTTACAGAACTGGGGATATGGACAAATATGCCAAATATATTGCAAGTGGCTTGCTGGCAGCAGTTACCAATAATGCCAAATTTGATGGGCTACCATGTAAAGCAGTGGGTTTCCCTTTATTGGAAGTCTTGAAGCAAAGGCTTAATAATTACTTTTGTTGGGAATATTGTGTAGGGAATTCTTGTTCAGGAACTGGTTGGCCTGGGTGGCCATTGAGATCCTTCTACCTCTGTTAGATTACCTTCTGTGATACACCCTGGGATTGCTAATCCAGTATAAATGTAATAAAAGAATGCAATTTAAAGGCTAGTCTCAAATAATGAAACTCAAATGAACTTTTCTATGTTTATTTCTGTTTATAAAGCTGCATTTTAATCAGCTAGTCCCTTACCTGATTCATAATTTCTGCAAATTGTGGTAATTTACTCAGTTCCACAAGATTTAGCCAAGTCATATCAAGAATCCATCTAAAGGGTTTGGGAGGACAGGCTTTGAGATCCAAGGCTGCTCCTCCTAGAGAAAAGTATTGTAAGAGCATGACTCATATTGTATAGCTCTCCTCTTAAACAAAATTAAAAATAACTAATCATTGTCTATTAAAACAAGCTTTTACACCCTCATGCTACATTGATATCTAAATTTCATGGACTTACTTGTTTATGTTGTAAACACATTTAATTTAGTCAAGGAGACTTTGCCACATATAGCATAGTGGGAAGAACTCTGGATTTGTACTCAAGAGAACATGAGTTCAAATCCTGGCTCTGCTTTCCACTCGCTTGACCTACAAACTTATGTTTCCAAATCTGTAAAAAATATGGAGGGTGGGGAAGGAGGTTCGGATGAGGTGATTTCTAAGGTTTATCCAGCTCTATACCTTATGGCCTTTTTCTGGGTACATTATAATATTACAAATGAAAGCTTAGATTTGTCCAGGTAAACCTAAAAGTGCCTACCTAGACATGGGCAAATTTCAAGATCTGTCCTATATCTGATCTACCTTGTACATTGCATACCTTTCCAGAAGAGACCCTATTGATTTCCTCTTGTATTCCCTAGGATAGGGACATAATGAAGTAGAGAGTTACATGAAAAACAAACAAACAAACAAACTGATACCCTTTCCTTGGAGTCATGTTCTTCTAGAATTGAACCATGGCAGGAAGAGGGGACCTCCATCCTAGGTTGTGGGTCACTTGGGATCTGAGGGATTGATTTCTATCAGTCCTGGGTACTTAATCCTATAGACATAATTCAAATTTCACACTTAATCTGGGACAGCGGGCATTTTAGTTGCTAATAATAGTAGATCACACACACATTTTTAAGAACTGCAAGGAGAGCAAAAGGGTTCAGCATATTTTTGACTCTTGGCATCTCCTGAAATATATAAGAATCTTCTATTTGCAGAGAATGTGTGTATAAAATTTGACAGGTAGTGGCAAGATTTACCACTGGTCTGACACTGATTTATAGAATTTGCTCAAAATGAAGTAGGCAATTCTAGATACATTCAATCATCTCTACCCAACTGTAGTACTATTTTTTCTGAGGGGAGGGTAAGGTAGAATTTTTAAAGGTATGTATATGGGCATCTAATTTGACATTTTGTTAGTAGTATATATAATAATAATTTCAAAATTTCATTATAGCATATACTTGCTCTTTGAGGTGTTACATCATAAAATTACATCTTCATGCTTTAATTCACAAGATGAGAGTTTCTAAAATTTTTTCCTCCCACCTTTTCAAACACATCCTAGAGCTCATGAAATACTACCAAAACTACCAACATCTCATAGCACCTCCCCATCAAAAAAAAGTTAAATAGAGACCCTATAGTTTAATGACCTCTTGGCCCGATAGCTGGACTTAAGTATAATAGTACGACTACATTTCATTTATTACACACTGACTATGACTATACATATACATATATGTATGTATATACATACATGCATGCACATACATATATGCATGCACATACATATATGTATGTATATGCATACGTGTATGTATATACATGCGTGTATGTATATACATATATATATACAAAAATACATCTATCTATAGCCTCCAGTTTTATACTGCTTTTTTACTGTCACTACAAAATCTTTTTGAGATTCTGTAGTTTCAAGTGTCCACATTTCTCTTAGAATCCTTAACCTTTCAGTTTGAGAAACAACAGACAAAGCCAAGCCTGAACTTTATACCTCAGTGAAAGGGAGTCTTTGAGTTCATAACATAAAAAGCAATCGAAGGAATTGGGATATTTAGCCTGGTAAATAGACGACTTGGTGTGTGTGTGTGTGGGGAAATGATAGCTGTTTTCCAGTATTTGAAGGTTTGTCCTGTAGAAGAGGAAATTAGACTTGTTCCATTTGACCCTGGAGGGAAAGACATAGGAGCAATGGGTAGAAATTGCAGAGAGGAAGATTTTGGCTCAATGAAAGGAAAACTTACTAACAAAGCTATCTGAAAGTGGAATGGACTGACCCAATAGGTAGTGAGTTGCCCCTCCTTAGAAATATGCAAGCAAAAGCTGAATGACCTCCCACTTGTTGGGAGAGTTACAGATAGGATTCTTGGTCGGGTATGTATATATTAGACAAGATGACCTTTGAAGTCCCTTCCAGCTCTAATATTCTATGATACTGAGAGATTATTAAAACAGAGTCTTGAAAATAATGGCATATATGTGTGTGTGTGTGTGTGTGTGTGTGTGTGTGTGTGTGTGTGTGTGT